ACAAGCTAGCGCTACAACCAGAGACTAATATTAGACACGACTGCCATAATGGATTCCATGGAAAAGTTTTAAATATTTCACGGACTACTACTTCTTTTTTATCTTCAACAAAAATTATACTGGATGATCTTCAGATTATTTGCTGCTGCATTAACAATACAATGTGGTTTCTATACACTGTACATAAGAGATACTAGTCTCATTGTTAAATGGTAAATGGACTGGTTCTTGTATAGCGCTTTTCTACTCTTCTGAGCACTTAAAGCGCTTTACACAACTTGTGCATTCACCCATTCACACCCATTCGCACAAGCACATTTTTCTAGGTGCTTTCTATGTAGCATTCACACACATCGGATGCATCAGAGAGCAATTTGGGGTTAGTATCTTGCCCAAAGATATTTGGCATGCAGACTAGGGGAAGCCAGGAATCGAACCACCAACCATCTTTTGAGACTTTTAAATCATTAAATAAGCCTACCCAAAAACTTAGGCTGCCTTTACTGTTGAACCTATTTACTTTTCTAATCACTGGGATCCATAACTTACACCATCATGCTGTCCTCAGTGAGATTTTGCAAAATAGACCGACACCATAAAGTCATCAGGAAAATGTTTACTGAGGTTATACATCAAGGGAGCCAAATGATCGCTATCCCTCTAAATTCTATACAATCTGACTTTTTTTTTTCCTCCAGAGGAGTCGCCCCCTGCTGATCATTAAAAAGAATGCACGTTTAAAGTGTTAACATATTACCCAAAATTAAAAGACTGGAAAAAGACCTGTAATGCCATTTGTATTATATTTGATACACAAGTTTCTGAGACCTCTATCTCATCAACATGATCAATACTTGCTGTAATTTCAAAATGTTATGGACGAAACTCTTTTTTTGTGTAAAATTAACATTATTGTTGTTAACAAAAAGTTGCCAAAAACACCCAATGTATGAAATATGATACAAAAAATATGTAATAAATATATAATAAAAATGTATCATACACAATATCATATAGCAAAAAATATGGATTTTGTTCTAAGGGTTAATAAACATCTCAGTTCCAAAAAAATCTGAATTTTCTGGCTATCTTTTAATGGGCTGGGTCTCACAAGATTAAGTACTTCTTTTGTTTTTGCCTTTGAAACACACTCTAAGTAAAAACAATCAAATACAATTAACATTCCCAAATTCAAAGCATTTAATGAAGTAGTAATACAGGTAAGTAAAAATACTTTAAAGCACCAGAATGGAGAATAAAGGACTCATTTTTGAAGTAGTGATGTATGAGTATGCAGTCACTAGCACCCATGAGAAAATATAAATATAGGTAATATTTCGATGTAATATTGTTTCTGCCACTGAAAAATAAATAAATAAAAGTTGAAATCTCAACTTATCACAAAATTTGGAGTTACGTATCTGAAATTTTCAAGCACTTTTCTAAGTATAACTTAAAATTTTTAGTTTCTAAGAACATTTTCAGTTAAAGTTTGAAGATACTAACCTGAACATTAATCCTGTTTCATATTTTTTGTTTTGTTTTTCCCCTCAGTCAAAATTTCAGGTATCTTAGTATCAGGTTAGATTATCAAGATAATCCACTGATTGCCTTGCTTTGATTGTTAATAACAAGGAGCTCAAGGAATGAAAACTTTAATATTTACTTCAGTGTTTTTAAGCAACTGTTTTATGTAGTCAAAATAAAAAATCTTTTATATGGAAATGTTTTATCTGTGTGAATATAACTGTTAAATAATCACCTTGACATTACAATTTTATGTCCTGTTTAAACAAATGTTTTGTATCATTAATCCAGTAATTTATTTAAACTACAACTCCCAACACTTTTGTTTGTTTTACAGGAATTGGCAAAGCCCCCATATGTTATCATATGGCATTACAAGATTTGATTAAGTTGTAATCATTTAGTAATTGTTGCTAAGTTGGTAAGTATTCAATATTTAACCATCTCGTTTTGTCAATTACAAATGTAAGATATGTCATTAATCTAAATCTACGTCTGGTGAGTATATATTACACATATACAGACAAGATAATGGTTTAGATTGCGTGTTAGTATGTCAGCATTGATCATCTATATAATTCAAACAACCATAGTTCAGGTTTTAAATTAAATAAAATCCGACAGCTTGGCCGCCTCTGGGTGAAAAGTCACTTGCACATGCAGATGATGTGAAACCATAAAGGCTGACATGGAGACTTTGGCCCCAGTCTAGCATGCTAGCCTCTGCTCTGATGGCCTTGGCCTTGCTTTAATGGGCGGGCCGGTGTCTCCCCTCGGGCAGACCAATAAAACCAGGGAGGCACTGTGTGTGTGTGTGTGTGTGTTGCATAACTGGACTGCAGTCAGTACAGGTTCACTCCACACACTCAGCGGTTTACCTCTTCACAATGGCAGCTCCGAAGAAAGTCTGCATCGTGGGCTCTGGAAACTGGCAAGTCGAAGTGTTGATGTTTTGAACCGTGTCCGGTTGTATCATATGTGCGGTTATCCGCTGGACACGGTGCACAGTAACGTGCGGGAAGTTTGACCTGCTGTACCTGTAACTACCAGATAGGCTTCGTTAGCGGAGGCGACAGTTGGGTTTACCTCCGCGTGGAGTCACATGCTGACAAGCCGGCTTATAATCGCAGAAAACTGGCCACAAGTCTGGCAACATTACTGGGATTTTTGTCGTTAGCTTTAAGGTGTCTGCCGCCTGTTAGCTCGCTCTTATTAGCGGTAGCAGAGACATCAGTAGCTGATGTCTCTGCTCCGTTTACCGGTCTAATAAATTAACGTTACCTCCCCAAAGAGATAAAAGATGATTTGACACGAAAAATAGATTTTTAAAAAATCCTGTAAATTCGGTGTGTGGGTTCAGTTTATGAGCCGAATAAAAAATATTAAATTTTTACATTCTTTTCATACACACACTGTGGTTTTTGTAGTTGTAGCTCTTATTTTGGAACGAAATTAAATGTATGTCTATTTCTTTTTATTTCCGAATTCATGATTACCCCCCAAATAATTAAAATCATTCCATAAAGTGGTTATAAAGCCATTGTAATTTTGCTGCTGCTTATGCTAAAATAAAATTGCAAGAATTCTCAATGGAGTTCGGTGTACACCCGTGGAAACCGTATGGAGGATTGGTGATTGCAGCATACCGTTATCAGCTTATCTCTGCGTGCAGCTTTGCCGTCTTGCCCTGAAATATTAGTTAAGGATCAAATAGGAATCATTACCTTTAATGATCACCCCATTAGATCACAGTGTGACTGAGTGAGAATATGGATTTTCCCCGTAAAATGAACACTGACTTGTAACTGTTAACCACGCAGGGGCTCAGCCATTGCCAAGATCGTGGGTGCCAATGCTGATAAAAATGCAAAGTTCGACAATACTGTAAAAATGTGGGTGTTTGAGGAGACTGTGAATGGGCGCAAACTCACTGAAATAATCAACTCCGAGCACGAAAACGTCAAGTACCTTCCTGGACACAAGCTGCCAGCAAATGTGGTAAGAAAAATTTATTTT